AAGACAAAATCTAAGAAGAATCTAAAGCAAAATCTAAGAAAAAGAAAAACAAAAGGAAATAGAAAAAAAAAGCAAAACTCACCTCGTTCGCCTGCAGTTGCAGACGAATGCATACCTGGGTGGCCTTTCCCTCAACTGCCCTGCATACTTCCGCATTTCGGAGGTAGATTCATTCGATTTTGCTCATCCTATAGGTGGCAGTCCCATGGGGTCAACGAGGTAGGTGACCCCCTGCCTTTTCTCTACTTTGCGCCTGTTCCTAGGCGCCATAAGCGCCAGGTTCAGGCGCTTTACTCGTTCAGTTGCTGCCCAGACTATTGAGGCTCAGCCTCCTGATGAGTCGGTGAGATTTCGACGAAACAGCCTGGCACAGAGCTACCCGTTCGTTCAAAACGAACGGGTGCCCTAACAAAAGAAGACAAAGAGAAAAAAAAAGAAAAATCTAAACTAAAATCTAGGAAAAATCTAAAAGAAAAATCTTTAAAAAAAAATCAGAAAAACAAAACCACCTTACCTGGGATAGAAAACGGCTGCCCGTTGAAAACGGGCGCCTGTCATTCCTCCTGGGGACTTACAGTCCACTGCCTCATCTTCTTGCGCCATCTGGCGCGTTAGATCGTAGGGTAGCAGTAAAGAAGAACCGTTGGCTTATGCAAACGGTAAGAGCTATGTGCCTTTGGGGACATCTTGGCGCGCCATGTGGCGTGATGTAGAATTTTCTTTGTTTATTTTTATTTATTTTTTTATTTATTATTTAGATTTACGCGTGTCATCCTTTGCGCAGGGCCATGCTACCACCGCGCGGCCAATCTCAGCCGTGAGATCTTTTTGATCGGACGGCCGAGATCGGCCGTGCCCAAAAGGCTGGGTTGCTCCAAAAGGAGCTAGCCCGGTAGTTACAATCTCTCATATTCGATCCCGGTGTCTGCTGGGTAGTAGTCGGGTGACGTAACCTACTGGGCTAGCTCCTGTTTCACACTAAACAGGAGCAGCTCTTCAATATGAAGAGCTAGCCCAGATGATTCCCCTGCCTGCGGCCTTGCAGGCTCCGCCTGTATGTGGCTTAGCAGGCCTGGCTGTGGCCTAGCAGGTTTGTCCTGCCTGTGGCCTGCCGGCATTCCTGCTCGTGGCCTACCCATACCGGTTAGCCGCGTGACCGCGGCTTGGTCGGCCTTCGAACCAGGTAAGCCTTGGCATTTGCCTATCGGCCCCCAGGCTCGAAATCAGACCCCGCGGCCCTAGAGAAAACAAAAACTTCGTACGCCTCCTGTGTCGTGGCCCCATACCCCGGCGCAACTCTCTCCTTAGCCACTTAGGCCCTGAATCAGCCGCGCGACATTATTTTTAGATAGAATAGGTCTAATTTTAGTCTTTCCATGACTGCACACTACTGCGTCCTTGTCGAAAAAACCCGCGGATGACAGTGTTGACACCTGCTATCCCGCGCGGATGTCGATGTCGTCTTGCGTTGACGACCTCAGGTTCTAAAACGGTTTAGGTCTCTCAGTCATAGCGCTGGTCTGAATAAACGTTTGGCAATGTCAGTTTCATCAAGTCCTTCAATTCAACGCAAGAGTTGGACAACGTCTGACGTTCAAAAACACCGGCAAATACCCTTGTCAGGGTTTTTGCCCCGACAGCGGTCACCATGCCAACCCGTTGGGATTAGTACACGCATGCTTGGGGAGCAAGTCCTTGGTACCGCTGCTTGTGCAATAGAGGTCGTGCAGGGCATGCCAACCTTTTATGAGACGCCTACCAGACCGTCTATAAATATTTCTGGTTGCGGACTCGGTGTTGATTCTGGCTGTGATCGTCGTCGTGTCTGCGAGGTTAAATAATTCCTGAGGAGATGGGGGCTCTCCTTAAATCCCTCCTGATCAGCCAGATCAAACCGGGTGGTAAGGCTCGTTCCGTACGAGGATAAATAAGAGTGGACTGGCTGGCATGTTTGGCAATGACTTGGGGCACAGGGGTGGGCCGGATTGCACACCTTCAGACACGCTGCTCAACCAGATGCTCAGGAACGTGGACACAAAGAGACCACTCAAGAAGGATACAGGGGGAGGSGGGRTTYCGGTAACTGTTCAYAGTGGCAATCAACTATAAATCTGCCATCCAGTATACATCTCCTGCAGGAGATGTTATTTCTATCTTTGATTAGTTAGTTGTTAYASACTTTGCTGACAAYTGACAGACAGTTACARACAGACKAGACTCTTTGCTGTAAAGTGATCTGTATTAGACTAATCTAAAAATAGATGTGATATAYCCTGTAGGACCTGACATTAGTTGTGACTATATCACCTAWTTGTTTCTGTTCCCGCCGACCGATAATAGTTGTATATCACAGACGGTTGTGTGTCACGCTAAGGTAGGATTCAGTGTGAGTTCTAGTTTAGATCACACACACCGTAGCTCATGAGTGAAGACAATAGTGAGGAGGAGCAAAGGCTAGTGCAACCCATTAGGATCACACGGAGAGCCGCTCTTAGTCAACCTTTGACTTTCTTGGAGTTAGGTCCAGGAGAGGAGAGGAGACTACGAAGGGAAGCTAGGGAGAGAGCAGCGGCGAGGAGGAATAGGGACGCAGCAGCCAGCCTAGCGGCTGCAATGGCTACCGCCTCTTCGACATCGCAGTCCAGCTCCCAGTCTTCTTCGTCAGGGTCTGGACAAGGTGGATCGGGTACAGTTAGTCAATCTGTTGGCTTGCAAGTCAGTCAAGAGGCTCTGCTCACACCTGAGGACATAGAAATCCAAAAAGCAGAAGAACTTCAGAATGAGTTACGGCGGCAGTTGGACGAAGCATCAGAGAGGAGAAGAAAAGCAATCATGAGAAAAGCCAGATTAGAGAGTACGATGGAGGCACTAGGCAGACTAGAGGACCTAGATGAGGCGGCATTAGAGCCTGTTGGACGCGTGTTGCGTACTGCTGTCCTATCTAAAGCAGAAGCGCAGACAGTTCAACAAAAACTGTTGATTGATCTAGTGGCAGGCCAGAAACAAATTCTGGATGCACTCCAGGCTCCTCGTCCAGTGATGAGGCAGCCGCAATTTGCTGTAGTTCCCCCTGCAGGCGGGGGTCCTTCAATGATGCCACGACCCATGGGACAAACCTTTTCTCCAATGTTTGGCATGCCCCCTCCAGGTGGTTTAACAGCAACTAGCGGTCCGGTTCAAAGAGTCTCAGCCATACCATCCACTAGCTGCAGCAAGCCCCTAGGCCCATGCAGCCTATGCAGTGGATGCCTAAGATACCCCTAATGAGTTCCAAACCCTTCTCTGGAGATAGAAAGGAGGAGGACTTGGACAACTGGGTGAGGACTGTGCCTACTTATGTGAGGCACAAGCTCACAAGGCCAGAGCAAGAAGTTGTTGTGGCTGCCTCTTTTCTAGAAGGGTCAGCAGCTCGCTGGCTGAATGGCCTAGTGCAGCAGTAGGGCTACGGTCATGATTTCGATGCCTGGGCTCAGGCTCAGACATTGGAACAATTCGTACGGTCCGCCTACAACAGGTGGCATGACCCGCAAGGGGCTCAAAAGGCCACCGATGCTATCAACAACCTTTGTTCTTGAGGTTCAAGGATGTTAGAGAGCTTACGGACACCGTAAAACGCCTTCTCGTGGTACCTGATGTGCGTTTTGACCAGCAGGTTCTCCTTACGGATTACCTAAGGTGCCTACCTGCAGAGGTAAGGACCAAGCTGATTGATGAGGCCTATGTCGAACAGCACACCTTCGCTTCTTTTAGTAAGAAAGCTCTGGACATAGAGGCAAAGTTGGGGTCTGCGCATAAGGCCTCTCATGATGGTAGGAAGAGACTACCCCAAGACTGGAAGAAGAAGGGTCAGTTAATGTTCGTTAACCATGATGGTCAAACGACTGAGATTGACGATTTCCCAGACCTTGGGGAGTTGACAGAGCAGGATGGGGCTAGTTACACTTCAGATGGTGGAGTCGTGGCACCCATCAAAGAAAAGGCTAGGGGGATCGGGAAGAAGAAGGTAGGACGGTCCACGGGTCAGGGAGACCAAGGGACACCCGCATGGGTAAAGCTTGCTTTGGATTACGAGGTGTGGAGAGACCGAGTTGCCAGGGGCACATGCATGAACTGTGGCAACTATGGCCACACGTCCAGGACTTGCCGCGGCAAGAAGGTCACCACGAAGGTAGCCTCACCAACGGTGGTGGGCTTATCTTCAAATCCTGGGAGTGCTTCAGCGAGCAGCTCACAAGGAAACACCTCGGGCCAGTAGGAGTGTTAGCCGCTCTTACTCGTGCTGAAGTGGTAATGTTGCTTTCCCCACTTCAGGCGTTGGCCAAGGCTAGTGACCCACACATCGCCCCGCAGACACATTCAGACCCACCGACGCTTTGTTTGAGAGATGTGTCTGAGGCCCTAGAAGAGTTACAGACTGAGTGGCCAGGGAAGGACCCCAGGGACTCTTGGGCGATGATCCGTAGAGGTCCAAAGGGTGAACATTTCGTGGTAGAAGTAGATGTAGGTGGCCGCAAGGTTGGCGCCTTCGCAGACATAGGCTCTACACGAAATTTCATGAGTCGTGCTTGTGTGAATAGACTGCGCTTAGGGGACCAAGTGCAGCAGCTTAGCAGAACTGTAGCTTCTACGCTAGCCAACAAGCACCAAATGGTGGTCAAAGACTATGTCAAGGACGTAGCCTGCACCTTCTCCTATGGAGGAGGGGAAGTGATCCACAAGATCTCCTTCCTTGTGAGCGACGAACTGCCATTCGATATGCTACTAGGCATGTACTACCTCGAAGTCTCGCAACCTCAGTTTGACTCGGATAGAAAGGTGTTGATCCACAAACTGCCTAATTGTAGAACTGTTAGATTGCAGAAGTATAAAGCTAGCAGTCTAATAGAAAACTACGGGTGTATGTGCGGTTCATCCTTCTATAACTACTATAAGCAGAATCGAAAGGAGGGCATGTATCTAGTCTTTGTCTCTGAGAAAGGGGAGGCCGTTAAAACACCCCCAGAGATAGAAAGAGTCGTCGCACAATATTCAGACCTTTTTTAGGAGCCCACAGGCGTGGTGGAAAGGGAGGTTGTACATGCAATAGAGATTGTCCCAGGTAGCAAGGTGCCTAGAGGACGAATCTATAGGATGTCTCTCGCGGAGTTAGATGAGCTTCGCCGCCAGCTTAAGGAGCTCACAGAGAAGGGATGGATATGGCCTAGTACCTCCCCTTACGGTGCGCCAGTCTTATTTGTCCCAAAGAAGGGAGGTCCATTAAGGATGTGCATTGACTATAGGGGCCTCAATGCCATCACCGTAAAGAACGCGGAGCCCCTACCCCGCATTGACGACCTCTTGGATAGAGTGCAGGGATGCCGATACTTCACAAAAATAGATTTGAAGTCTGGATACCATCAAATTGCCGTTAGACCCGAGGACCAGCACAAAACCGCATTTCAGACCAGGTACGGTCTATACGAGTTTGTGGTGATGCCTTTTGGCCTATGCAATGCACCTAGTACATTCCAG